TTCAACACCACTATAGTAATCTCTGCACTTCAGAATTATATTTCAAGCCTAGAGCTCTGGCTCGGATTGTAGAAGATCAAAATTAATGTAGCAAAATGTGCTGCCACTTTATTTATCCGAAGAACCCACCCCAATTTACATAACTTGCAATTCTTCAGAGAACCAATTCCCTGGGTTGCTACTTATAGATCTAGGAGTGGTACTTGATTCAAAATTAACTTGGCAACCTCACATTTAAAATACAGTTTCTGATATGAAGGTTGTCAAATTCCAATTACGGCCTTTTTCCGCTGGAGAAAACGACTTTTCCACGAAAAGCAAGATCTTGCTCTATAAATTAATGATAAGGCCTATTCTGACTTCTACAAGTCTCGTATGGGGCGCAGCAGCAATTACTATCAGGAAACATATCCAAATTTTCCAAAATATTGTGCTTCGACAAATCTACAAAGCTCCTTGCTTTGTTACGAACGAAGATATTCATAATGCAGCCAAAATTCTTCCCTTAAATCGCTTTATAGAGCGACTTTCAGTTAACTTTTTCAAAACGATTCCTTCGATCGGTAACCCCGTTCTCCATTCATCGCATATTTATCATCCAGGAATTGCGTTATCTAGAAAAAGACCCAGAACTGCTCTGGAAAGCGTCATAATGCGTTACCATTTACTAAGAGGCGTTGCTATGGAGACGAAGCGCCTGGAAGCTGTCACTCAATTCATTCTTCGAACCCTCTTTCCCTCTGCCCGAGCGAATTCTCTGTTCTTTCAGATTCTGTCAGGGTCACTCTTTTTCTCCTAATCGGCCAATTATTATTTCTTTCAACCGTAAGCTGTTGTAACTTAAGAGTAAGCATATCTTTGTTCCCTGCTAAAAGGGTTCTTGTGCAGAGATATTTTATTTAAACTCAACCCCTTTAAGAGAATTTCTTTAAGTTATTACTATTATTAAGACACAATAACACGCCGAATAAATACTAATTCAGAAGACAAACAACAAAAATCAGCGTTATATTTACAAAATTTTCACGGGACTAGTTTCGATGGTTTTACCGAACCACCATCTTCAGCTTCAAAACCGCAAATGAACAAGATAGGAAATAATGATTAGATTAGATAAGGAAGCCTGGACAAGAATAAACAAGTGGCGCCATCTGTTGGCGAAACCAGAACTAAAACATAATTTCTCTAAAACCCGAAGGCAAATTTGGATTGGAATTAGGATCGTTAACTAGAACAGAAAGATTTTTATGAATGTGAAATGCCTCTAGAAAATCCAGTTCTCCAATGGAAGATGTTTTTTGAATAATTTTAGCAGCAGAAAAATTGAAAGTGTGATTTTCGGACCAACAATGTTGAGCAACAGAAGACTTCTGTGTTTCCTTTTTTCTAACATATGCCTCATGTTCTTTGACTCGAAATTTCAAGGCTCTCTTAGTTTGGCCAATGTAAATTAAACCACACTGGCAAGGAATCCTATAAATACCCCAGGAATTCATATCCGGAATGGGGTCCTTGAGTATAGAAGTCCGAATTTTATTGATGGGAGAATAAACAACCCGAAAGTTAAATTTCTGCAAAATATGTGCAACTCTATAGCTAATTGATGGAAAGAAGGGAATGACAACAGAATTTTTATAATCTCCTAAAATAAGAATGTGGCTTTTAGTGTGTTGAGATGAGAATTTTTTAACTGCTTGATTAATAATGTTGGGTGAAAAGCCCCTGTCAATAGCTATTGCTTTTAAATAATTTAGTTCTTCATCAAGGGCTAGTTTGGAGGAGCAAACTTGAAGAGCACGGAAAACATAGGAATAAAATGAAGCTAACTTTTGTTTAGTCGGATGACATGATTTAAAGTGTGGTGGAAGGCAAACCGATGATGGTTTACGGTAAACTGTAGTACTGAAGTTGGATGTGTTACGTGTGACCAGAATGTCGAGAAACGAAAGAGAATTGCAAGTCTCAAGTTCAAAAGTGAACTGAATAGCAGGATCAGTAGAATTCATTGTTGAAAGAACTTTATTTTAAATCATCTTTATTTACCTTCAAACAGGGTAAAAGTATCGTCTACGTAGCGGAACCATGCCGGGAAGTTTAAAGTTTCAAACAATTTTGATTCATAATAATGCATGTAGATATCAGCCAGGATGGGACTGAGGGGGCTTCCCATGGCTAATCCCTCAGTTTGCTTGTAATATTTATTTTGGAAAACAAAATGTGTTTGCTTCAAACAGAGTTGAGTGAGAGAAATTAGCTCATCAATTTCGATGCAAGAGAAATGAAATTCGCGAAGTCTGGTTTCTAGACATCTTAATGCAACCCTCCACTGGGACATTGGTGAATAATGATTTTACATCAAAAGAAACCATGAGTAAATTACTAGGAGAAATGTTTTAACCTTTTTTACAAACTCTATTGAATTTTTTATGGTGTAAATGTTATTGTCTAATAGAGTGGAAAATCTAGAAACTAAATATTTAGCTAATGGATACGAGGCAGTACCTAAATTTGATACAATAGGGCGGAAAGGAACACCACTTTTATGAATTTTGGGAAGAGCATATAATCTGGCACAATTCGCAACAGATGGGATAAGCGAATGTTTTAAGTTGCTTGAAATGATTTGCGAAGATTTGATCGCAGTTTTTATTTTGGACAAGTCCGAAGGTGAAGGATCTTTAGGTATCGGATTATATGGTCCTTCGTTTAACACTTACATCGATGGTGTCACTAAACTCTTAAACGAAGGACCATATAATCCGATCCCTAAAGATCCTTCACCTTCGGACTTATCCAAAATAAAAACTGCGATCAAATCTTCGCAAATCATTTCAAGCAACTTAAAACATTCGCTTATCCCATCTGTTGCGAATTGTGCCAGATTATATGCTCTTCCCAAAATTCATAAAAGTGGTGTTCCTTTCCGCCCTATTGTATCAAATTTAGGTACTGCCTCGTATCCATTAGCTAAATATTTAAGTTCTAGATTTTCCACTCTATTAGACAATAACATTTACACCATAAAAAATTCAATAGAGTTTGTAAAAAAGGTTAAAAACATTTCTCCTAGTAATTTACTCATGGTTTCTTTTGATGTAAAATCATTATTCACCAATGTCCCAGTGGAGGGTGCATTAAGATGTCTAGAAACCAGACTTCGCGAATTTCATTTCTCTTGCATCGAAATTGATGAGCTAATTTCTCTCACTCAACTCTGTTTGAAGCAAACACATTTTGTTTTCCAAAATAAATATTACAAGCAAACTGAGGGATTAGCCATGGGAAGCCCCCTCAGTCCCATCCTGGCTGATATCTACATGCATTATTATGAATCAAAATTGTTTGAAACTTTAAACTTCCCGGCATGGTTCCGCTACGTAGACGATACTTTTACCCTGTTTGAAGGTAATAAAGATGATTTAAATAAAGTTCTTTCAACAATGAATTCTATTGATCCTGCTATTCAGTTCACTTTTGAACTTGAGACTTGCAATTCTCTTTCGTTTCTCGACATTCTGGTCACACGTAACACATCCAACTTCAGTACTACAGTTTACCGTAAACCATCATCGGTTTGCCTTCCACCACACTTTAAATCATGTCATCCGACTAAACAAAAGTTAGCTTCATTTTATTCCTATGTTTTCCGTGCTCTTCAAGTTTGCTCCTCCAAACTAGCCCTTGATGAAGAACTAAATTATTTAAAAGCAATAGCTATTGACAGGGGCTTTTTCACCCAACATTATTAATCAAGCAGTTAAAAAAATTCTCATCTCAACACACTAAAAGCCACATTCTTATTTTAGGAGATTATAAAAATTCTGTTGTCATTCCCTTCTTTCCATCAATTAGCTATAAAGTTGCACATATTTTGCAGAAATTTAACTTTCGGGTTGTTTATTCTCCCATCAATAAAATTCGGACTTCTATACTCAAGGACCCCATTCCGGATATGAATTCCTGGGGTATTTATAGGATTCCTTGCCAGTATGGTTTAATTTACATTGGCCAAACTAAGAGAGCCTTGAAATTTCGAGTCAAAGAACATGAGGCATATGTTTAGAAAAAAGGAAACACAGAAGTCTTCTGTTGCTCAACATTGTTTGGTCCGAAAATCACACTTTCAATTTTTCTGCTGCTAAAATTATTCAAAAAACATCTTCCATTGGAGAACTGGATTTTCTAGAGGCATTTCACATTCATAAAAATCTTTCTGTTCTAGTTAACGATCCTAATTCCAATCCAAATTTGCCTTCGGGTTTTAGAGAAATTATGTTTTAGTTCTGGTTTCGCCAACAGATGGTGCCACTTGCTTATTCTTGTCCAGGCTTCCTTATCTTATCTAATCATTATTTCCTATCTTGTTCATTTGCGGTTTTGCAGCTGAAGTTGGTGGTTCGGTAAAACCATCGAAACTAGTCCTGTGAAAATTTTGTAAAATATAATGCTGATTTTTGTTGTTTGTCTTCTGAATTATTACTATTATTTCATAACACTTAAAGATATTAATTTATTTAACTCATGCTTCTCCTCAGAGGCAGTTCTGGTCCTGTCTTTTTAAATCTAACTCGCCTAACGTGTTCTCCGCTCCCTTCCCCCCCTCAGACCCGAATCACTTGCGATGTGAATGACCTTTTGTCAGTGGTTCCTTTCTCTTGTTGTTAACACCACAAGATCATTGATCAAGGAAATTTCGAATCTTTTCAAAATTCATGATGTAATCCTTCAAAATTGATTCTGGCCCTTTTATTCGATCTCAAAATTATTAAATTAAGTCCTTCAATGTTTTTACGTCTTTTCACTGTGGAAGGCACTTTACCGTTTGTTATTCTGACAATTCGACACCAAATTTTACCTCTTTCTGAATACTCTTTTTGATGATAATTATTTAATCTTTGATGATGTGGGAATAAACGCATTAAACCTATGATCCTATGCCTTACTTAATCCAATTTATTTTGAGATTATTAGCGGTTTGTCTTCATCTGTAGGCTAAAAGACTTCGGTTATGGTGCTAAGGAAAGATATTCGTGTTTAGTGCATTTTAAAGTTGTTTTCACGAGAAAAAAATTTAGTTATTAGATAATTATAGTAAATAACTTCCATATGTTTACAGAATCTAAATATAGAAAATAAGAGATATGTTGATCAAACTTTAGCTATCTTTGCTGTAGTGGAAACATAAAAATTAAACCATTTGAGAAAATGTAGGTAGGTTCGAAGCGTTAACGATCAAAATGAGTTTAAAAAATAGTGTGTTAGTTCTTTGCATGTACGTTATAGGAATGTGGGTATTTCTATCAGGATATCTCTTAAAACGTATTGTTATCCATCAGAATAGCACATTTGATATTAACATGGAAACTGAAATTAAATGTCACGATATCACATCTTTACATGAGATTTCCAAGCATTTTATTGAGAAGTTACAAGTCAACTCAATTAAATCAAATAATAAAAACTATTTGAAAAGATTTGATCGTGCTGTTGTAATTGTTATTGATGCGCTTCGTTACGATTTTGTAAATAGTGAGAAATCTTATGATAATACAGCATATTATAGAAATAAAATGCCTATATTTAAGCAAGTTGTAGAAGAGAGACCGGACCATGCTATTCTTCTTCCTCTTAATGTTGATCCACCAACAACAACACTGCAGAGACTAAAAGGCTTTACAACTGGCAGTCTTCCAACTTTTATAGACATTAGTCTTAATTTTGCGACTTCGGAAGTGATAGAAGACAATATTATCCGACAGATTAAGATGCATAAGAATCATATTGCATTCATGGGAGATGATACCTGGGAAAGCCTGTTTCCTGATCATTTTTATAGATCATTTCCATATCCATCTTTTAATGTTAAGGTATGTCAATAACTAATATATGCTGTGCATTATCAATTAATACATTCTTATTTTTGAAAAAATTAATGTAAATGTAAATTTTTTCTCTACTTCATGTAACTTCAAATATTGTTAATTTGAATTTTGCTCTAGTGTAGAATTGGGTGCCCCTTCGATTCGCGACAATTTTTTCTAAAATTTTGGCGATGAAATCTCATTTCTGGTTACCATGATAGTTTAACTTTGCTTTAGCCTCCTGATTTTTTAAAATAAAAATAGATTGATGTGTACATGGACAAATTTAAAACAGTGCGCAATGCCTAGTTTGTGCAATTCCAGGATGTTTTTTTAAGTGAAAACAGATCGATGTGTACATGGACATAAAGTTTATGCAATTCTTTGACATCTTATTTTGGTTTTGCATAGTGGCCATCTTGAAATTGTGTCTTCCTGGCGCCGATCTTGGCGTCAAAAAAAAAATCGCCAAAAAACAAGGGGCACCCAATTGTAAACTTTTACCACCTTTCAAGTAGTCTGGCCAAATTTGTATATGATCAAGAAGTTTCCTTTCATGTTACCTGCATTACTTTTTAAAAATATATTGTTCTCTTCTTTTCTTCAAATATGTAGAATTTATTTATATAATTTGAATGTTTATTGCACAATTCAAGGATAATAAATTCTGTATAAATATGAAACAATTTCATGGTGCAAATCTGAAAAGCTTGGGTTTTAAAATAATTCAATATAAAATCCAACAGTTAAACCATTTTATTTTATGCTGTTAATATTTCAATAAAGAGAAACAATTATGATTTAAAAGTTACATTAATTTGTATATTTTTTCTGTACTTACAAATGAGTGCGACCACCTTAATAGAAGTTGCCAACATTTTTAAATGCACCAAACTCTGAGAGCCATCCTTATAATTTATTCAGCTTTAACAAGCAGCTATGCCTCTTTCATAGATGTTCTAGTTTTAATGTTTTTTATAAGCAAATTGTGATTTTCTTTTCTTAAACTCATTTTTAAAATTTGCACTTGTTGGATTAGCCTTTAGTGTAAGAAACAGGTAAATTTGTGCAGAAATACTGTAATATCCTATAAAATCACTAAAAAAAAATTGTTTTGAATCTATTCCTAAAATGATCACCACAAAATTTCCACCGGAACAAAACAAATGAAAATTCGCTGGTAAGTAGGTTTATTGGTATACATTTTAGAAAAGACACCTAATTAAAATATAAAATATGGATGCATATTTTTTTCAATTATAAGTCATTATTCTTTATATCCTGCAAAAATATGTGGTACTTCCGTATTAAACCTGAGAGAGTATTCTGTATTAAAGATGACTTTGCTTAGTAGTCAGAATTAGCAAGTTTTATTGTTAAATCTTTAATGATCAAGTTTCGGCTCTAGTGTAGAATTGGGTGCCCCTTCGATTAGCGACAATTTTTTGTAAAATTTTGGCAATGAAATCTTATTTCTGGTTACTTTGCTTTAGCCCCCTGAATTTTTTAAAATAAAAATAGATTGATGTGTACATGGACAAATTTAAACAGTGCACAATGCCTAGTTTGTGCAATTCTGGGATATTTTTTTAAGTGAAAACAGATCGATGTGTACATGGACACAGAGTTATGCAATTCTTTGACTTTTTATTTTGGTTTTGTGTTGCGACCATCTTGAAATTATGTCTTCCTGGCGCCAATCTTGGCATCAAAAAAGAATCGCCAAAAAACAAGGGGCACCCAATTGTAAACTTTTACCCAAATTTCAAATGTCTCTAAAGGCTTATGCAGCAGTCTCTTTAATATGGAAGTACTAAATATATGAATCATTAAAGTATCACATCTAATGTAAGATTCTTTCTCACTCAGTTGTTTAATAATCTATAAAACATTGTTGTTTATGGTGATATCTGGGCTTTTGTGTAGCTTCAGAATAATTAGGTATTGTGCATACTAATGGTCATACAAATGTGTTGATGAGCAATATGCTAATTAGAATGATCTGGATGATTTAATATGTAGAGGCTGACTGCTAGCACCAAACTAGTAAATTGAATTAACTTATAAAGCTTAGCTGTATGTTTTGTTGCTTTTTTGTATATTGTGGTATAATAGTTATCATCTCCTTTTGTACACCTTTCTCAGTAAGACAGTTAAACTATTGGGGGGAGGGAGGTTTGGCCTTAATCCCTAATAGATAAATGCATAACCAGCAAATGTCTGGCTACTGGAAAAAAAATTCAGTTTGAGGATGTATGGTTGCAGAATAGATTTGCGAGGCTGTCAGATTTCGGCTGAATATATCTCAGAAGATGGTATTCAAGGACTTATATCTTCTTTTCATAATTACCAAATATATTGAGACTTTTAGATCAATAGATTTTTAAATGGGGTCATGCTCTAAATGAAACTTTGCAGTCACAAATATTCTGGTTGTCATAGCCATGACACTTCTCAAGCAATCGTACCCTCTGGGACAGTTTTATAACTATTAAAAATAGACTTAACTATATAAACAATTTTCACCTTCCTAACCTCATACTCTCATGGTATAAAAGGTAGCATATATAGTTAGCAGTCAGAAAATCCAGAGTTCGGTCTTCGTGAGAATGCAATTGATTTTTCACATTTCTTGCTCAGAAAAAAAAAAAAAAAAAAAAAACTTAGTAGCTCTACATAGTTTTTTTACTACCAGGCAGATTGTCAAATATGGCAGGCATCAACCATATCTAACTTTCTGTATTATATGTAGAAATCACATTTTTTAGCATTATTTTAAAGGTGTTTTATTTTTCTATTTTGGTATTTTAAATATTAGGATTTAATTCTATTGTCAATTATTGATGTTAATGTAATTATAGAAATATGAGATTTTTTTTTAATTATGGAACTGGGAAATCAGAAATTTTACGAATATTTCAAATTAAGGTTTTAAGAAAGTGAGGGTACTTATTATTATGGCCTCCATTTTTTTAAATTCCAAGCCAGGATTGTCATCAAGTTCATGTTTGCTTTGTGGCTGTTCATGTTTTCTATGATCATTTTTAATGTGGCATCAAAAGCATTTCGGTTAGAGTAGATTGATGGGCTCCCCTTGTATTATATTATCACAAAGTTGTTGTTTCATTTATCGCCAAGCTGTTGTTTAATTTATGGTAACCTGGGTAGTTGAATGTTCCGTAAATATACTTTTATCTAGAATTGGGTGCTCCTTTGACTTTTTAAGTGAAAATATATCGATGTGTACATGGACAAAGGGAGTGCACAATGCCAAGTTTGTATAATTATCTGATTTAAGTAAAAATAGGTTGACGTGTACATGGATAAAATCAAGGGAGTGTACAATGCCTAGTTTGTGCAATTTTGTGATTTTTTTAAAGTGAAAATAGATCAGTGTGTACATGGATACTGAGTTTGTGCAATTCTTTGACTTGCTAGCAAAATCGCTGCTACACAAAGCCAAAATAACAAGTTAAAGAATTGCACAAATTCCGTATCCATGTACCACCAAAAATCACCACTTTTCACCAAGGGGTACTTATAAATATAATTTTAAAAGTATTTTTTTATCTTGAGGACTTTCACACATGAACTATGCAAGGCAAGATTCATGATAATGGCAAACAACCAGATTATTGATTTTTATTCTGCCACGTAATAAAATGCTACTATCTTTCTACATTTCATGAACAAACAGCTGTTGTTGGATCAACAAAATAAAATAGGTCACAGTAAAATAACTCTAATCTGCATTTTCTAGTTCCTGTGTGTTACATGTTCGCCAACAGTCTGAATGAATCTTAATCCCTCTAGGTTGATGATTTTTGCTTGCATCTCTATTTGGAACCTGAATGAGAAAGAATACTTGGATTTCTGGGCATAACTCATCATTCAAGGTATGGCTATTAATTTTCAGGACTGCTCTAATAACAGCAGAACAGATGATATGAAAAACGTAACTTTTTAATATGTTTTGAAATTATCCCATCTACCATCTAATAATGCACTACTGTGCTCGGCTGTATAAGTTGTGGAAATGACTGTTATTTTCCTCTTTCGGAAGTCTCCTTCAATGTCGACGTCATGTTCTTATTGATGTCTTCAACATCCACAAAGCTTGTTCCTTTGATCATAGATTTGAGTTTGGGGAACAAAAAGAAGTCTATGGGGGCCAAGTCAGGAGAGTATGGCAGATGATGCAGCTCCACAACCTCATGCTGGCCCAAAACCTCTTCACTGGCAACATAATGTGGGGGCGGGCATTGTCGTGCAACAGAAACCGGTTGATCTTTGGATTATGGTAACTTGGCGATTTTTTGGCGAAAATTTGGCGACCAACTCTGCTACAGCAACCCTCTGTTTTTTTTTTTTTCGCCACCATTTTGTCTTCACGAAGTAACTTGAAGACAAGTTTCTTTTCTTTTTATTTACTCAACACTTTTTCCAACAATCTGCTAGCCGAATTACACTTATGCTAGAAATATTATGGAACAAAACTGCTTAATCATGACTAATATTAACTGCGAAATTGGGAAAAAGTGCAGAATCGCAAACTCCTTGCCGCGTTTTTCAAAATCGCACATACACAGTAACCATGTACACGTCGACTTATTTTTACTTAAAAAAACATCCCAGAATTGCACAAAAATGGCATTGCGCACACTCTTGACTTTATCCATCTAAACTGCTATTTTCTCATAAATTACAAAATTTTGCACGAAAATGCAGGAAAATTTTTGTGAATCTTTAAACTCGGTAAAAAGCACATATATGAAATTACCTGATCGCGAAAAATTATATACCCTATCCAAGGATGAACATTTCCACGTATAAATAAATAAATATCCAAAAACTTTTACCTCTAAATTATCTATTATAAACGTCACCAACGAATTCATAACAAAACATTAAAAATGGTTACAAATACTTAGTGTCAAATATTTAAATTATTTCCATGCACGTTTACTTCCACTCAAACGTATACCAAATTGCTACAAACATATAAT